CAAAATAGTTGTCCATTTGAAAAATAATAGGAATCATTTTCCTCAATGGGATTTCTAAAAGTTGAGAATGATATTCACTAAAATAAAATATAACTTTTCCCACCTTCCCCAAACATGGAAAAATAAACTCAGCGGTTATTTCCACAGAAGACGTGTGTAAGATTAATGTTCAGAACACAACCATGAGGGCTCAGCCACAAGAAGAACGAGGCAGGCAGGGTATCTCTACTAGCTACTGCACTGGTAGTGGTTTATAAAAAATACTATATATACTAAAATTTTAAGAGCTAGTAATATATTTAGCATATTTCTGCCTTTTCTTTTTACCACTGAATATAAAATTTTGTCCTAGATTGACTAAATCTACACCCTGAGGAATAACAACGAATAAAGAAATGTCAGGGTTTGCTTTATGGATCACATTACTGTCCAGAAAGCACGAACTATATATAGCTAATATTCTTGGAAGCACAATGTTTCACCAACAGACCAACTACTTCCCTATGTATTTTTTAAGCAAAGAATTTGGTTTTACAGTGCTGACATGGCTGGCCTGGGGAGAGAAGAGAAGTCTAAAGCTGGGAACCTGAGGTTTCCCCTCCAGTCCCGATCCACTATGAACACAGCAGAATGCTGCCCGTTAGGGACATATTACTCAAGAATTCTCTATAAAGCACTTTGGAATCTTAACTATATATGCTTTTATGAAATTACAATGGACAGTTATTTGCTATTCTGAAATATGAAATTCCTATCCCTTTCCATACACAAATACATAAAATGATATACTTTGCATCTCAAATAGTTAATATTGTCGTTATTAAAAAAGAAGTCCTATTTTTCTGCCTTTTAACTATTTTACATCAAGCCTTTAAGTGGGAGGAAAGGAAGGTCTTTAAAAGTAAGGCAAAGGATTCATTTAGAACAACCATTCAAGAAGCTGGTTATAGCTCAGGGCTAAGAGTGCTTTTCTAGCATGGGTAAGGTCCTGGGTTTGATCCCCAGCACCACAAAACCAAACCAAACAACAACAAAAAAGGTCAACCATCTCTTTTTTTTATCTTAGGGTAGGGTGCCTGTTTCCCTTTGAACACAGTTTGTCTTTTGTTCTAGTTTGTCTTTAACTGTAGAGCCACTAAATGTGATGCCTACAATTCAAAATGAAACTTGTCAGAGAGAAAGAATTCTTGTAGGTGCCTAACAGGATAACTGATGACACAATCAGCTATTTCCTTCTGACAACAGTATCTCACTGAAGGACAAACAGCCCAGGGACCATGCCTAGCAGTGAGAATGAGTCATCATAAGCTGTTTAATAAAACTTCTGTCCCTCAGTTTGACTTAAAACACTAGACTTCAATATAAGCTTGTTCTCCTCAAAAATAAGAAAGGCACTCAAATGAACACAAGATACATAGCTATTTTGCTTTTTAAAGGGTCAGTGTGTAGCAGTAAAAAAGAGTTCTTCGAGTATATGTTTTTTTGCTACTGCTTTGTGACACTGTTTGCCTCTACATACTTCTTTAATAAAAAGGTGCTTACAATGTGTATATTTGTGTGTGTGTGTGTGTTGTGTATATAAGCACAGTCAGTTGTATTTGAGATAGTCAAGACAAGATTCAGTTTTTATAATGTTGAAATTATTAGTATACTTTAAACATAACCTAGTAACAGAATAAAGCTTAGCTGAAAATAGCTTTAAAAAATTGTGTTACTTCTTTTTACAGCTAAATCTTTAGCATCTTCTATAATTCAAGGAGCTAAGGTAGAGATTGTTGTACAGCGAGTGGTCGTTCCACTCCCAAATTGCATTCAGCCCGTTTCAGATACCATCTTGTGCTATAAAAAGGAAAACTTCAAGATTGACAATTTGTTTGCAGCAATTTTACAAGTCCTCTCTTTTCTCTCTACACACACATACATGCACACAGTCACTCACCAAGCATAAACTGAGATGACCCGAAACGTATTTAAATGACACAATATCTATCATATGTTTTCTAGACTACTGCATAAAAATTGCAAGGCGTTTTATTTCCGCATCTTATGTCACAGAAGCCCTTATTTGACGATTTAGCTGGCTTTTAGTGACAATCTATATACTACACTGAATTCTATGAATAGTTAATGAAGTGGAGTTTGATCTCTAGCACTGCCACAGAAAGAAAGAAAGACAGAAAGAAAGAAGGAAAGAAAGGAAGAAAGATAAGAAAGAAGGAAGGAAGGAAAGAAAGAAAGACATTAACGAAGTGTTTAAATTAGAACCATACTAAAGGACTAAGAAATAGGACTGAAAGTCTGGGCCCAGAGGTCATAGGGGATATTAACAGGTTATAAAATCCTAAAGCTTAAAAAATGACTTACAAGTTTAGGAAATTCCAGGACCACAGTTCAAGTTTGGGAAAAAAGAGAAGCATAAAATGTCTATGCAAGTACAGAGATATCAACAGGTCACTAAAGTCAAAGAACTGCTTTAGCTGTCCGGTAGTGGCTCTGTTGGCAAGATCTGTTCTTAAACATCATCAAAGAACAGAGAACAGTATTCTTAATGCAAGTGGGTTTCATTAATTGGGAATTCTGAATGTCAAGTACAGCTAACTAATAATTGGAGCGCTGCATTTCTTGTCTGGGACTTAGTAAGTTTAAACAAGGTAATGAAATTAAGAGAACACATCTAATTAAGTTGTTTTAAATGTGATAACTCTCCCTAAGAATTATGAAGCTAGTCTATAGTGTTTACTTACAATCTATTAATTTTTCCAACTATCACTATCACTCATGACCAAGCATTCTCTTTTTCAGTTGGTCATTAACAGTGAATCCCCAGAATGTGCAAGGCACACAGAATCGGGAAATAGTGTATTACCCAAACAGGTTAAAGTTAAAAAAAAAAAAAAAAAGGCTAGGTTCATGGCAAGTCCCTTTCAGATTTTGTAGCTGTTTGCTTGTCAGTAGTTTTTTTGATCCACAGGATGGTATTATGTTAACTGATAGTCTTCCAGTGAGAGCTGGGTAAAATATGTCAATTTAACTTATCGTTTTATTTGAACAACTACATATTTGTAGAAAAGTAAGACTAACAAGTCCCTGAATTAGACATTTTCTTTCTACTTCATGAGTGCATTTCATCAGACATTATTATGCTAGTGAGTTTAAATGTAAACCACTTAAAAAATCACAACCATATATGACAATTCTAAGTTTTCATATAAATGAACACTTGAAAAATATCAGTATTAAAAATAAAGTAGCCCACAAAAGTCACATACTAACAATATCTTTTGGATATTTGTATTTTTACTACTTAGTTATAACTTCATTAGGAAGACAAGAGACTAAGAGATATTAAAAGGCTGCAGGGCTTCAGAAAGGTTGAGCCTTAGGATGCATGAAGGCAGTTACACCAATGATGGGCAAGATATTGAGTGGAAGGTATAAAAGGCATGGAGCACTATAAAAATGTAGCTAATCTTCATAGAGTAAGGTCTATACCCATTTCCTGACACAGGCCCAAATCAAAGAGTAATATAAGCCCTATTGATTGAGATACTAAAACTGATGCTTGATAAAAGTTAATACCAAGTGTGGCCAGAACTGGACAAAATGTATCAGTGGAATGGATGAAAATTCTAGTATCTTCTCTGCTGTTTCTACCTAATCTCCACATGAGTGGAAACCTCATAAGTCTAATGGTTTTAATCCATGGTAGTCTATTAAAACTTGAGGTATTTGATTCAAAAGATGCTTTGTATACAAGGGGCTAAAGGGTTACATTTATAATGGCAATTATTTTCTCACCTAAACTGTATAAAAACTACAAAAAGGTTAAGTTTTGCCCCCAAAGAGAGGAGCACTGTCTATCGACTGGGGCCAAGCTGGGTAGTTTTTACCGGTGTTCTTCAAAGTCTCAGTTCAGCAGCCCATAACTCAACAAAACCATGATGCCCAAGAAAAAGATCTATTTTGTTTCCCTTAAGACAAGTCCAGGCTTTCTAGTATCATAAGACAAAAGAAGCCTGTTTTATCCTATAACCTGCTCCCCACCCTACACATCACTAATCATGAAAAAAGAGAATAGGTAAAGTAATCATACTTTGTATTTTCGAGATATGGTATAAAATTCAGAGAAATAGGATAATTAATTTCAGTAGGCATCTGTAAAGAAAGACAGATGAGAGAAAACACACGAAAGTGAAAGTGATAAAAGATGGAACAGACTAGTAAAAAGGAGAAAGGTGTGTGCAAAGAAGAAACAGACTATTTACAAAGGGGGAAATAAGATAATGAACTGGACATTATGTGACCCATTCCATACCTTCCCTTCATCAACCTAAAAAACGCAGCCCTTGTTATTAAAAAGATAAGATACAGCTATAATGTGGATACTTTGGTACCTCATCCCTGATAAGTTCAGTATCAAAGTGTTTTTGTTTCATTTTTAGAATACAAATTGAAGAACTAATCTTCAAAACTACTCTTTCTCCTTGGCTTCCACAAAATTTTTGTTGATTATCTAGTATAACCTCAATAAGTTAAATGTTTAAAAAGGAAGTTTATATGAATACATTTCTATGTATGTTTCCCATTTTTCCTAAGTGATTTTAGGAGGAAAAAAAGTAGTTAACTAAAAATGGCATTCTGAAGTCTTTTTCAAAAAGAAAAACATTTATTTTATAAGGGCTGACTTGATTGTTTTGGCATATACGAAATATAAGATAAAAACAATCTACCAAAACTAGTAATAAAAATGCTTTTCAGCACTATAATTACACAAACCCTTAGTTTTTTTTTTAAATAACCATTTAGAATGGATTACACTGGAAGCACATTTTCATGTAAATTCTAATACTTCTGACTTTGGTTATCTTTGTCTAGGACTTGAGAATATGCTAGAGAAAGAGGTGTAGTTTATATCTTCAGATATCCATCTATTTAGTCATTTGATTCTCAGAACAATAGTTAGAACAAGTCATATTGCATTTGTATTAATGTTCTTAAGCTGAACTACAATGTAAAATTTTAATTAAAAAAATTTGGCTATGCACCAACTGAACTGAAGTAGGTAAAGGTATACATATAAACTCATTAGAAGGTCCAAATGAGAAGCCCAACATAGAAATAGAGTGTAAGAAATTGAAAAAAAAATAAGACTTACTGTTTAGCAGGATGGAACTAGACAATTATTACTTTATCCCCAAAGGAATGTATTTTTAAAATAAATAGTTACTATGGACTTTTAACTTACAGATGAGGAGCACACAGTTACCTAGGAAGAGCAAAAAGTTGGTGCAACTATGTCAGTAAGAAAGCAGTATTGCACTAAAAGGGGAACTCTATGGATCACCCCAATTCTTTCATTGACTCAATGTGACCAGCCATTTCCTGTATGCATTGGCATACCTGGCTTGCTCGACGTTCCGACAGGTGGATAACACTTGATCAATGAACCTGTGCTCCATTTCTAGGCCTAGGGAGTCTGGAGCTGGGGTTCGCTTCAGGCGCTTGGTTTCCTGGGAATAGCCTTGCTTGCTAGAGTCATTCAGTCCATCTACTTCCATTGCCTGAGATAGCTGGGGACCTGCTGGGATGAGGTGCAAATCATACAAAGCTCTTCCGGGGCTATCTGCAGGTGACAGCTGGGTCATGCTGCCAGGAAGCCTACCATTTAAATGATGTTGAAGGTAGAAAGCATGCCGCCTGTGGTGGGGATGGGTAGAGAAAAAACAACATCATGTCAAACATCGAGCTTTTGAGGGAGAGAACTGCTGTAATTTGAAAGCACACAGCATTCAGTCCACTGCCCATTTCAAAGCCTAGAGCTAAAAAGGGAAAGGAGGGAAAACAGTTGTAATGGAATCTCTATGCTTTGGATAAAGGTTTCAACACTAGCTTACTGGTTTGCAAGAAACAACACTACTTCTAAGAGTTTTTCAGTTAGTATTTGCTGAGATAACAATGGCTTAGAGGTGTTACTCTTTGGTAACTGTGTTGTAACATTAGAAATAGGTCTTAGCTCAGTGTTTGCCATAAAGTACCATATAAAAAAAATAAAAAACTAAGGCTATGGATACCTTAGAAGATGAGTAATTAAGAAATAAGGGGTAAACAGTTCCGGGAGGTTTAATTCATGGCCTCTATAATTACCATTTTTAAAGCAGAATGCATTTACAGCCATTATTCTTATTACCTAGACATACTGAACTTCTTTCTAAATCTACCACTGTACTCGTAAATATCCATATGCAGTGGGTGTGTGCAGGGCTCTGAGCAAAACAGAAGATATAATTCCTATTTTCTTTTCTTTTTTTTTTGCCTGTCCTGGGGCTTGAACTGTGTGCCTGGGTGCTGTCCTTGAGCTTCTTTTGCTCAAGGCTAACACTCTATCACTTGCACCACAGTGCCACTTCTGGCATTTTCTGTGTAGATGGTACTAAGGAATCAAACCCAGGGCTTCATGAATGCGAGGCAAACACTCTACCATTAAGCCACATTTCCAGCCCTCCTATTTCCTTGTAAAAGAAAGTTTCTCTATCTTTATCACTCTGAATTGCTTAAAATTAAAAATGAACGTCCTTATGCCCCATTGGCATAACTGCTGTGTGTAATAAGATAGATTACACAGGTTCTGTTGTTTTATTTCATCACCCATACTAGCAACTCTAAAGCCCTTAAACTCTAACTCTATTCATTTTCCCTGTATATTCCAGAGTTGGTGAGAAACATTTAATGGATAGTAAAATTAAACAACATGCATTGCCTAATAGTAATGAATCTGTAGCAGAAAACTAGCCTATGTAATACATAATCTAACTCCAAAGGTAACTTTCTACAAAGAAAAGTTATCTGCTAATCTAGCTGGCATTCAAATGCACCTATCATTTTTTTAAATATCCAAAGTGTAATGCACCTAAATACAAAAGAGCTATAAAAACCTTGAATATAAAAACAACCTCAAGTTAAGATTTTCTCACTTGAAATTGTGGGATAAGTGTTTTAAGATAATTCTCTGTTCATGAAGGTGACAAAAACGGAGGTAGGGGGAAGGTGGCTTCTATCTTCTGAGTATGTTAACCAGCTCTCAAGTAGAGACTAATCTGGATAAAGGGTATAAACCCAGTAACTTAAGAAATAAACACACATTAAAAAAAATCTACTTCCTGCTTGCACTGACAAGCCTTTTGCTTACAAACTGACAAGCTGAATCCACTGGCTGGAAGTAGAATTTGGATTTAATGAAAACAAAGATGCTTCCAAATAGAGGAAGTTCCAAAATGAATGAAGCAAGGAGTTCACTTACATAGACTTCATCAAGGCATGAAATTTGCCTTGTTAAATGTACTCAAAACTCAGGGTAAGGACCGGTAAACTTTTTGTTTTAAAGAAACAAAGTTGGCTTAAATAAAAAGTATAAAGAGACTGTTCTTAAAGTAAGTTAATCTGAAGACCATTTAGGGCAAGAAAACAATATTAAAAATTACCTTTTTCCTCAGGATCTAATTAATAGTCTCAATCCTGATTGCATCGTAATTATCTATTAAGAGCTTTTTAAAATTAAAAACAGATGACAGCATTCCATCCAAGATATGCTAGATATTAGGATCTGTAAAGATGAGTAGAGAAATTCATGTGTGCTTTGTTTGCATTTTGAAAGTAACACAGGGATTTTGCTGCATATTTATGGATGAATGCCACTATCCTCAACAGGTAGAGGTTTGTGTGAGGAACCTATTAATGATGATGATGATGATGATGGTATGGTAAACACAAACCCTTTCTCACTCAGGCAAAGCTGCAATCAGATGGTCATATTTACCCAACAAACAGAAGTCAATATAATACCATCTGCAGGTCCCAAAACGACATGTCCAGTTTCACACAAGAAGTAAATTTTCTCCTTTTCTTACCTATGACACCAAAGAGTTTCATGCCCTGGGTAGGAGTCAATAAGATCTGTGGTGAATTCAACTTCTTCTTCTAGAAGCTGGGGTAGATTGATCCTTGATTCTTCTGCTGAAGCTGTCGCTTCTTCATCTTTTGGAAGAACTAGAGTAGCTTCACTTCTCAAAGAGTTTTGCTCTAATACAGAAGTATCTGTCACAGTTTGGCTAATCAAAGACTTGAGTAAAAACTGGCGGTAGTGAAATCCACTGTGGTCTGAAACATGTACGGATGCCCAATGTTTAGTAGAAGACAGTTCATCAAGAAGGATCTTGTGGGAAGAAGAAAGGGAGGTGAGAAGAGAAATTTCCAAAGGCTTTCCTTTCTTAGTTAACACCTCTGACTTTTCTTTGAAACGTTCTTTATTTGACTACCATCTCACCAACATTTTGAAAACAGTATCTACCACACTGCTGTCACTTAGCAGAAGCTTAATACATGCTAGTTTCCCCATTCTTTTATAAAGTGGGAGAGGTTTTCTTTTTGTAAGTCACAAAATTCATGAACTTGTGATACTTTTTTCTCTTGGCTTTGATAAATAGCTTACTGACTGGCATGGAGAAAAGTCTAATTCCAAAATGATGAACATTAGGGCATTCATTTAGAAGTAATGGTAGCACAGAAGGTTAAAACATTAAAGATAAATTCTGGTTACTGGGTTGTGTGTGTATATGACAGTCCTAGGGCTTGACTTCAGGGCCTGGGCACTGCCCCTGTGCTTTTTTTTTTTTTTTTTTCCTCAAGGCAAGCTTCTGCCACTTGCTTTTGTGGTGATTAGTTGGAGATGAGAGTCTCACAGACTTTCCTACCTGGGCTTGCTTGCAGTCAGCATCCTTAGATCTCAGCTTCCTGAGTTGCTAGGATTACAGGTGTAAGCTACCAGCACCTGCCTTGCCTTGATTATTGTTGAGGGAGGTTTGTTTCATATCTGGGCTGACCTGGACTGCGGTCTTTTTACTTGTGCTTCTCTGTGTCACCTGGGAGGGAGATGCGTGCAGCCCACGCCCAGCCACTGTGCACTGTACACTACTTCCTCTGACTAACTGCGTGTCAAGGGTCCTTGGTTCTTCCTGTACAAACTTCTCACACAGCTCTTTTCTTCCTCAGAGGAAATCTTCTTTCCCTCTTCTGAACCTCCACAGCACGTGTGTGTCCCATTATACAGAGAGAATATTGTGCGCGTGTCTTTGTCCCACCTATTGCTCAGGTATTATATGTATGTGTGTATTTACGTATGCATTGTGCCAGTCCTGTGGCTCAGCTCAGGGCCTGGGCACAGTCCTTGAGCTGCTGTGCCCAAGGCAAGTGCTCTACCACTTGAGCCACAGCTCCATTTCTGGGTTTTTGGTGGTTAGTTTGTATAAGAGTCTCACTGGCTTCCTGCCTGGGCTGGCTCTGAACTGAGATCCTCAGATCTCAGGCTCCTAAGTAGTTAGGATTACACGTGTGAGTGACTGGTGCCTGGAAGACATTTATTCATCCCTAACAGATAGTTTTATCCCTCTATGTGTACTGCCATCTAATAAATGAATGAACAATTTAACAAAGGAGATAACAAGAACAAAGGACTGAGGTTACTTCCAGAAAAATTTTATCAGTAAAATTTCACATATCTTCTTTAAGTTCTCTCCTTAAAAAAAAAATTTTTTTTTTTTTTGGTCATTCCTGGGCTTGAACCCAGGGCTTGGATGCTGGTCCTGAGCTCTTTTGCTCAAGGCTAGCTCTCTACCATTTTGGGCCATAGCTCCACTTCTAGTTTTTGAGTGGTTTTCTGAAGATAAAGAGTCTCACAGGGACTTTTCTGCCCAGGCTGGTTTTGAACCGCAGTCCTCAGATCTGAGCCTCCTGAGTAGCTTGGATTACAAGCTTCAAATACCTGTGCCCAACTCCTTTAAACTTTTTAAAAATTGGTTTTTAGATAAAATCTTGCAGTATCATCTCAGCAGCACCATCTTCTCCTGTCCCAGACTCTGGAGTGGTCCAAGCTTTACAGAGTTTATTCACAGCTACTAACATTTAAATTCGGAAGCTACGGTCTGGAAAGTGGCTGAGAAATGGAAAACTAGGTAATTTATTTGCTTATAAAAGGTGAGCAGAGATAGTACCAGATAAAAATCTATCTAAAGAGACTAATTTAAGGTTAGCATATATTTAAAGAATTAGGCCACAGGATATTTAGTAGCTTTTTATTTTGATATAGTTTCTTAAGCATAGACTGAATAGCTACATATTTAAAAATAAACTTATTTAACATGAATAAGCTTCAGATTATCTCTCACTGGACAGTTCTCTGAAAAAAAAAACCACCTCAGAAACAAAGGAGGAGGCAACAATGCTTGATAAGATGTTCTCATTACCTTGCTCATGTAATTGTAACCGCTCTGTATGGTATTTTCACAATAATAATAATAAAAAAAACCCTCAGAATAACACAAATAAAATTTAATTTCTTACAACTCAAATCTGTATGTTTTTCTAAGACATAGAAGGATGCAAGAATTTCATGGCATTTTGTTATGGGACCAGGTATTTGTGTATAGATGCTGATGAGATATTAAGAAGCTACAGGAAGTGGTGCTGTGGCTCAAGTGATAGAGCATTATCCTTGAGCACAAAAGAGGCTCAGGGACAGCACCCAGGCCCTGAGTTCAAGCTCCATAACTGACCAAAAACAAAACAAACAAAAACAAAAAAAACCCAAAAACCAAAAACTACAGAAGCAATGCAATAAAGATACCAGGCTTAAATTACACATGCTATCAGTCTCCATAAAGTATTTGTTTTTCCTTGATTATAAAGAGGATGAAAATGATTATAGAAAATTTCAACAGTCTGGACAAATACAAAAAACAACCTAAACTCACTCATTACCCTTCTGGCTACTCTCAAAAGTCTGGCAGAGCTGGGCACTGGTGCCTGACACCTATAATCCTAGCTACTCAGGAGGCTGAGATCTGAGGATCATGGCTCAAAGCCAGCCCAGGCAGGAAAGTCCTTGCGTCTCTTATCTCTAATAAACCAATAGAAAACGGGAAGTGGTGCTATGGCTCAAGCCGTAGAGTGTGCTTGCCTTGAGCTGAAGAGCGCAGGGACAGTGCCCAAGCCCAGAGTTCAAGCCCTACCACCAACCAAAAAAAAAAAAGTCTGGCAGATAATCTTTCAGGTTTTCTTCTTAGTATGGCATGCACACAAATTTTATTTTTAACACAAATTTTGTACTGATTTTATTCCACTGAAATTATATATCATCTTACATCTTTACTATTTTATTACATAATTTTAATGGTTGCAAAATACTTTTTCTTAAGAAAAATCACAATTTATAAATTCTTCTATTTCTACTCTGGCATAAGAAAAATTCTTACAACTAAAACTACATGGTATCTATCAATTTAGGAGAAAGTTCTAGAAGTTTTCCTAAATCTATTAATTTTATTCATTTTATTTATTAAGTAGTTTTCATGATAAGTAGATACAAAAATTAAACAATACATTTTGCATATTTTGTGAAGATTAAAACATTCATGAGATATTTATCAAAGATGTTTATGTTATGAAAGGCATTTTTATGAGCTAATTTTTTGTTTCCTCTTATATTAACTACCTATTTTGCCTAATTCTCTTCATTTATGAATTGACTAATTTACTATTTGTACCAGTCATTATTTTTCTTCTAGGTTTTATAAGAGATATTTATGTATTAATACTATTAGATCTCCATTTATCATATACACTTTAAATATTTTTATCAATATACTATAGCAATCAACTTTCTATTTGCATTTTTCCAGGTTTACTTGCATAGTTGACAAGTTTTAAATACTTTTGATATACAAGAAATGTTCTTATGTGTACACTGTGAAGTAAATAACATAAGCTAATTAACATCCATCACTTCACACAGTGTTTTCCTTTTTATGATAAAAACATTGATGATCAACTCAGCAAATTTTAAGAAACAATATTTGAATTCTTGTCATTGTGCTGTACAATTGATCTTTACAACTTTTTTAGCCAGCAATTTCCCATTCCTCACCCTAGCCCAACTCAGCCACGCACCACTGTACTATTTGCTTCTAGGAGTTCAGTGTTTTTAGATTCCACATCGACGTGAGATCATATAAGTTTGCTTATTTCACTTGGCATGTCCTCAGATCCCTATGTTCTTCTCACAGATTTTTAATTCTCTTATAATTCAGTGTACATAGGAAATTAAAACTCTTATGTTAAGTATTTTCTAAAAAGTCCATTTTACAAATTGAATAAAGTATTTCTTCTTTAATTATGTGAAATGCCACATCTACACCTATTATACACTGGGATTTGTTTCTAACCTTACATATTTTTTTTAAATTACTGAATGAAACAGTACTGTAATATACTCAAATATCTAATAATACAGTGTTCTTTCCCCCCCAACAATTTCTTAGCCACTTTTTGCAGCTTTCTTATTTCTAATAAACTCTAAAATCAATTTCTGAAGTTGAAAGATAATACATCATTAATAGATTTATGGTTATATTGCCATCATTGCTAATATATTTCAAGCATTTTCAGCTACCTCAAAAATAATCCATTCCTATGAAGAGTCAATTCTCATTCCCTCTTCCAAGCCTCTGGCTTTCAATAATATGCTGTGTCTATTCTGCATATACCAAATAAATAAATGATCTTTCGAATCTGCTCACTTTCAATAGTTCAATGTTTTAATGTTCGTCCATGCTCCAAGATGTATCCTTATTTTTATTGCCTTCTTATGGCCAACATTACATTCCATAATATACTGTGTTTTGTTCTCCTTTTCTCAGATAATACAAAATTGGATTGTTATATTTTTTGGCTATTTTTAACCATACTGACCACAAACATTCGCATACAAGATTTGTTATGATCATGTTTTCAGTCCTTTTGGGTGATTCTAAGCATTATAGGATCCTATAGTTACCTTGTTTTATATGTATGTAAATTCTACCATTTTGTCTTTTGAGAAAATGCTTAACATATTTTCCATGCTGACTGCACTATTTTACATTTTCACTATGTTTGTCATTATTTTAGCCATTCTAATTAGTGTGAGGTAAGTGTTTTACTCACTGTGGTTTTGATTTCCACTTCTTAAATGGCTGATGATATCCAATGTCTTTGCTATCTTTACTGGTTGCTTGCGAATCTTTTCTGGAAAATGTTCCCATGTTTGTTTTTGTGCCAGTTTGAACTCAAGGTCTGAACTCAAGGACTCACACATGCCAAGCAAGTGTTGTGCCACCTGAGCTGTTTGACTGGTTGTGCAGGGGCTTGGCTGCACTCAGACTATTTACAGTAATAACAAAGCTAGAATGATAGGCACAGCCATTAACTTTGAACTTTTCATCTCAGCCTCCCAAGTACTTAGGATTATAGGCATTTGCCACTGGCACATGCTCCCATATGTTTTTGTTTTTTTAAAGCAACATGTTATATCAAATTTTAGTTGGCTAATACCAATAAATTTTGCTTGGTAACCTGCCCTTTCCACTCTACCCTCATAAATAAGATCTTAGAGGAAGCTAGGTATAATGGCTGAAGTCTATAATCTACTTGGGATACAGAGATTAGGGGAATGTTGTGGTCCAGGCATAAAGTGTAGACTCCATCTCAACCTATGGCTTAGCATGATGACATGTGCCTATTATCCCAGCTACAGGGGAAGCACAATTTCTATTATCTATTATCCCCAGTAACATAGGAAAGCATAGGAAGAAGGATCACAGCCCCAGCCCGCCTGGGCATAAAGTAAGAGCCTACCTCGAAAACAACCAAGGCAAAAAGGGGCTGAAGAGATATACCACCTGATCCATTCATGTACTGAGGGGCATCTGGATTGATTCCATGTCTTGGCTATGGTAACTAATGCTGCAATGTACATGGTTGTGCTGGTAGCTTTAGTATGGCCTTGTTTGTGGTTATTTAGGTAAATGCCCAGAAGTGAGATTGCAGAGTCACAGGGAGCTCTATGTTTAGTCTTTTGAGGAACCTCAGACTGCTTTCCAGAGTGGTCAAACAAGTTTACACTCCTGCAAACAGTGTAGCAGCAGCAGTTCCCTTTTGGCCACATCCCCACCAGCACCTGTTATTATTAGATTTCTTGATAATGGCCTTTCTAACTGGGGTAAGGTAGAATCTCAATGTTGTTTTGATTTGTATTCTTTTATGGCCAGAGATGTTGAACATTTCTTCATGTGTCTATTGGCCATTCTTATTTCTTCTTCAGAGAAGCCTCTCTTTAAGTCTTTAGCCCACTTGCTAATGGGGCAGTTGTTTCTTTGAGGATTTGTTTTTGGGTGTTTAATTTTTTGGCTGTAAGTATATTTTAGATATGATGCCTTGTCTGTTGTTTGGCTAGTAAAAATCTTCTCCCATTCGGTGGGCTTTCAATTTGTCTTTCTATCTGTGTCTTTTGCCATGAAGAAACTCTGTAGTTTAATGCACTCCCATTTATCCAACCTTTCTTTGATTTGTTGTGATTTGTTCTGGGTCTTTATTGAGAAAATTTTGACCTGTGCCAAGGAATCCTAGAGTTTCCCCTATTCCTTCCTATAGTATATACACACAATGGAATTCTATGCTTCCATCAGAAAGAACAACATTGCCCATTCATAAGGAAATGGAAAGACCTGGAAAAAAATATTAAGCAAAGCAATCCAGGCCCAAAGAACCATAGGTTGCATGGTTTCCCTCATTTGTAATAACTAGAATATGTTTATGATATTCTCAGCAGAGAATCACAATGGCTCAGTCACTAGGTATATATGACCATATATAATGAAGCATATCAAAATGAACTCCAAGAATTGGAAATAACAGGTTTTTATTATGTACTGTTTGCAGTTATTATTATTTCTTTTTTACTTTTCTGTACCTTTTGTTTTGTATATAAGCTTATCTGATCCGTGGAAGGGAAAGGGTATCAAAGAAACAGCAGGACAAAGGAAGAACTAATGAAACAATGAGACTCACTAAATACTATGTCAGAAATGAACTTTACAACTTGGCAGGGGAAGGGAATGGGGAGGGGAAAGTGGAAGAAAATGAGGGAGGGGGTTACAGTGTGCAAAAAGAAATGTATTTATTACCTTACTTAGGTAACCATAAACAACCCCTCCTGCTCGTCACCTTTACAATAAATAAGTTTTAAAAAGTTATTCCACCTGTTTTGCAAGCACAAAGCTCTGAGTTCATTCCTCACACTGTCAAAGTAAAATTAATTTATGTTCCTTTAAACATACAAATAACACCAGGGAACATAAAGTGGAAAAATAATCTCAGGATGCTATTCCACAGCAGTAATAACCGTCCTTTACTCTGTAACATTTTCCCCAACTTAAAAAGTTTGTTAACAACAACGAAAAAAAAATCTGTAACACCACTGTATATGTTTTCGTATCTACTATATATTTGCTTTCATAAGTATCTACTGTATATTTGCTTTGTTCCAGGTGCTATTTCCAACTTTACAGTGCTTTCTCATATTCTATGAGCTCTACCCTTTACTTGGTTCTACAGCTTAGTGTAAATATTTTTATTTAAAAATCTTCTAAACTACAACTTAGAGTAAACCAAAACACTCTTATTTGTGATAGTTTGTAATCTAGTAATTCCTCAGCATTAAAAGGTTAAAAGTCTTTCTAGTACATTATAAACACTTTTGTAATCAACCTTTATATTTAATAAAGTATTCAATGATTATGAAGCACTTCATGTGGACACATTCAATGTACATCACTTGATGAGACAGGAATTATCATTCTAGCTTTACAGTGAGGAAGCCAAAGGTCAGAAAGGCTACACAACAAATTGGCTAAACATCCATGATACTAACTGCATCTCTATGTCCACAGAGTGAGCCTTGGTCATTATACAGTATTTCTTTAGGATGAATCCCTAGAAGCAGAACTGTTAGAGGTATTGCTCACCCTCTTCCTTCTTTTAAAAAGCTAATAAATGTTATGTTGCTCACTAGTCAGATTCTAACCATTTTTATGATGTTCATTTTTATACTCTTACCAATACATTAGCACTTAAATACATTGTGCTGCAGTGGTGGTGACCACAGCCCTACAGGCAGGTTCCTTGTTCCTGACTTCATGGGAATGCTCCTTAAAAGGGCCAAATCATAGCAAGAGCTCTCAGCTCACTTGGGCTTTTCTTCATAGTTCCAAGTTACCTGAAGGTGCTCACCTCCACTAGGAAGTAGGGGAGCTGAGATGACCAGCTCCACAGCCCCACCCTGAACCCACTAGATAACTTGTGCTCCATGCCTTCAGACTCAGGCAGCTATTTCTAGTGAGTGCTGGCTGGAGAAAGAGGTAGTTCCTAGAATCTCAACTCTGTACTCTAAGTTTCCCTCAGTCCCTTCCAGCATCATTCTGCTTTGCGATTGACTTGTTCAGCCAGAGTTCTAGTTTGGAAAGGGCAGCTCTTTGTCTTTATGGTCACACCCAAGTACACATGGCAGTAGCTGGGAATAAATAATGAAAAGTACTTATGGCCAGTTTCATTTTACCTATGGGAGAACACAGAGAGGGACTGAAAGTCAACGAGTCTTTATGAAGTGCCTGGTACTTTCTTACCATAATTCATTGAAACAGACAGTGGAGTCCTTACTTTAAAAAGGAAAAGATTAAAAACCACCCTTCCACATAGCGGCATAATTCTGAGTTCAGGCTGATATGATTCTAAGATTTGCTTTTTCTATCCCATTAGGTGGCCTCTTTACCTGAAACTGACAGCTATATAAATTGGAAAAAAAAGGGATATTCTTTCAGAGTTGTTGCCGTAAAAGGTCTTGGAAGTAAAACCTTTATTTGTCCTCAAGAGGAAAACAAAGGGACAAGAAGATAGACACATGAAGTAGATTGTAACCTAAAATTACAAACTGCTTTCCCATGAGTCTTAAAACATCACTTAGGGCACTCCAACCTTCAACTTGACCTCCTTCTGAATTGTTCCAATCTGAGAAACTTTTTGGAAGAGTACCCTACATTCTTAGGACATTATAATACTATAAGGAGAGAAGAAGAAAATGAAGAAACATAATAAAAATAGAAAGCAGCACAAGGGATACTGGTTCTGACTCTGATGAATGAATAGTAAATGGTCAATTATGACTAACTCTAGGCCATGAAAATCCCTGAAAATTTCCATCTCTTTATTTCTAAACTGAAAATACTAGGTTCTGAGAGTTGCTAACCTAACTAGGCATTCAAATAAGCCCCTGAACCTATGGGTAAAACAAATAAACAAACTAAACAAACACCAGTACATTCTACTCTCATTGTCTTGGACTGAACTGGGACTTAGGAATCACCAGATAATTGATACACTACAAATGTGGGAATACCTAGGTTTGATCTTCTGACTCTGCTTCCCTTTACCTCCATTGTAGGGAAAGGAACCTGGAACGGTGGTCACCTAAGTCAGCTCCTGTTTACATATCCAGATACTACTAAGAAATCATTCTAAATCTAAAAGGTACTTTTCCTGCTTCGGGGCAAAGTAAGTTGTGGTCAGTTTTTCTAACAGATCTACTCTGCGTTGGACTACCAATGCATTACACCGAGTAGTGCCCTAACAGATCTACTCTGCGTTGGACTACCAATGCATTACACCGAGTAGTGCCCTAACAGATCTACTCTGCGTTGGACTACCAATGCATTACACCCAGTAGTGCTCTAAAGCAACTGCACTTTTTGCAACTGCTAGAGTTTCTTTGGAGGTGTCAGTTGTCATAATCCTCTTGGGTTGGTGGATCACTATTTCCTTTCCTTTATTACATTAAAGCTCTTCTGAGAGTGAGTTAATACCAGAAGATTTGAAGGGCAGACAGGCAGCTTAGCCCCAGACACCCATTCACAGTCCTACCTTGACGTCTAGCTTGGCCAGGTGTTGTAAAACCCAGATGCGATGGGACCAGGCATTATAGTTGCTCGGGTATCTCCCTGCTGCTTCGCCACACACTTCCATCTCTTCTTGTATGAGTCGCTGAGTCCTCTCTGCAGGTATTGTTCCCAAGTTTCCTTTGGCCACAAAGGAAGGTAAGGAACTTTCTTGAATCAGTTGTTGTAGCACCCATCGCCTGCCAAGGCAGCATGTGGGAAAGAGGAGGAGAAAAGGAACATCATTCAGAGAGGAAAAAAAACAAAACCAAACTCTTCTTTTCTTTGTTCTTGACTTAGTTTCCATTCACATACAGTGAAGAACAATATCTATAAATTTAGCTTGGGGGAAGGTGAGGAGGGTCTACTGTTTTATTGTTTTTGAAGATAAATTAGGTATTGTGAATAGGGGCTAGTTAGGAAATAGAAACTTTTCTATAATTTTAGAATTTGTCAAAAAGAAAATGTCATCAGTTCTAAAACAACAATTCCCAAGCTCCATTTTGCTAAAAAATATAAAGGAACTGGATGGTCTGTGTGCTATATGAGGTGGTGGTGGTGATGCGCTTGAGTTATACACTTAGCCCTATGTGCGTTTACAAATAATTAAGAAACTTTTTCTATTAATTTGGTGCCAGTACTGAGGCTTGAACTCAGGGCCTGGTGCGATCCCTTAGCACTTTTGCTCAAGGCTGGCATTCAACCACTGGAGCAACACCTGCACATCTGAAAGTCTCATGGACCTTGCTGCTGGGGCAGGCTTTGAACCCTGAATCCTCAGATCTCAGCTTCCTGAGTAGCTAGGACTATAGCTGTGAGCTGCTGGTGCTTGTCAATAAGCTGTATTTTGACAGCATTCATTAACAGAATTTTATGCTACATCATAAAATCTACAAATACAATATAATTAAGCCAAAATTGTCTTTATTCAAAATTTTTCCTTCTGTATATTTAAGATTTGTGTTAGCACACATATAAATGAAAAGCATTAAAAACTCTTAACTAATGTTGTTGGTTAGTACAATTTTTTTTCCTCTGAATGTTTTCTTTTAACTAAAAACTGTGATTCCAAAGGGGTAGAAAATTGAGCATCATTTTTAATTATGAGTTTTTATTTAATAATGAAATGCTTTTTTAAAATAAATTGCAGAAGCCAATAATTAATGGATGCATATATATATATATATATATATGTAATAGTTTTCTTTTGACCTACACCCACCCACACACCTAAAACACACACACACACACACACACACACACACACACACACACACACACACACACAGTTCTCTAACATCTGCTATTCCAATTTTTAGTAAGGAAGAAAATAGTACTCTTTTATGTGGTTTGTAGGAGCTGACTTGGTGCAAACCAGAGGCAAGAGTATAGTCAAGACACTCTTGAGCTGACCTAAAATTCTAAAAAGACTCAAGATTAAGCAAAAGTGAATGATTTAATGAGAATAGACTTCTTCAGAGAGTTCTCCACTGATACCAATCAGCAAGATCACAGCATCCCTTTTCAGTTAAACAACAGCAGTTACATGGGTCCAAGTGGAAAATACTTCTAGAGATCAGAATTTTGAGAACCCTTTCTTGCTGTCTTAGGTCATTACCCTAAAAACCCTCTTTATATTTATGATCTTAATAGCTTTTTTTTTCTTTTTTGGGTCGGTCAGTCTGGGCCTGGGCACTGTCCCTCAACTCTTCAGCTCAAGGCTAGTGCTCTACCACTTGAGCCAAAGTGCCACTTCTGGTTTTCTGGTGGTTCATTAGAGATAAGAGTCTCATGGACTTTCCTGCCTGGGCTGGTTTTGAACCATGATCCTCAGATCTCAGCCTCCTGAGTAGCTAGGATTAAGACATGAGCCACTGATGCCTGGCAGGATCTTAATAGCTTTAACTCAACTGATTTAACCATTCACTTCAGTAGCCCTTAGCCTCCTTTAAAAGTTAAGTTTAATGATCACAACCATCAGACCACCATCTTTACCAGGAACAGAACCTTACATTTATGCATTTAAAAACTCAATTTGCTTATTACAGATGAGTATCTAAATGCAATGTCTAAAATTACAAAAAACAGTATCAGCCAACAATGATTAATTAATACATGCCAGGCATTGTGTTTACCTGCATAATCTCATACACATCCAACTCTTAACATGATGAGATAGGTATAATTATCACTCTTGTTTTAATAAGTGAGGAAACAGATTCAGGCACTTAAGGAACAAACGATAGTCTTTTGACAAAAACATAGGCCACATGGCTTTAGAATACATGCTATGAACCAACATGCAGCCCTCTGTCAAAAGCTGTGTTTTCTTTCTCCAGAAATCATGAATACTAAAAAAAAGATCTTAGCCAGTCACCTGGATGGGTGATTACGGGCTCACATCTAAAATCCTAGCTACTCAGGAGACTGAGATCTGAGAATCATAGTTTAGAGCCAGTCAAGGCAGACAAATCTACAAACAACTAGCAAAAAGCCAGAAATATGTATGGCTCAAGTGGTAGAGTACCAGCCACGAGTCAAAAAAGCTGAATTAAGTGTGACGTTCAGAGTTCAAGCCCCAGTAGCAGCATAAAACAAAAATAAATGAATATATGATCTTATACATTAACCACACCTATGAATCCATGTTTCTGGACTCTTTGGAAACTTAGTTAAGGCCAGTTTTCCCAGATATAAGTCCTTAATTGGATTTAAAGTGCCAGAGAGGATCAGCTCTTTCCTGCAAGAGAAAAAAATAAAATAAAAACATTACTTATCCTTCTATTCAATCATTCTGCATGGCTTTTAATATAACCTCACTGCGAAGTGAATTTCCAAGAATTAAAATAATAAAATTAATAAAAGCAATTTTAAAAATGGAAGGGTTGACACTGGTCAAGATGCACTCTACTCATAAACTGACATGTTGAATGAATTGAATCCCCTCTGTACAACTACATAAAGGTAATAAAAAATTTAAAAATTAAATCCCCAATCTACTGTAGTATATAAAACCATCATAAATTGCACATATAGTAATCAAGAACAAATTATCATTATATAAAAACAAAACAATAAAAAGCAAATGAACAAACTAATGACTGAGCTTCTAGAAAGCAGCTCTTTCAACAACAGAACTTTAGTAACTATTTGGGAAAAGGCAAAGAAGTTTTCTGGCTTCACATCCAAAGGTTATATGACCTGACTGAAATATCTATAGGACAGATTCAATAGTAGTAAAGAATTGCTTTTACTTCCTAACTAGGGCTTTTTATAGTCTAGTTCCTTAGCAGATAAAAATATGTATACGACAAAACACAGTATGACTGAAATGTAAGAAGAAACTATCATTTGTTAAACTACTACCCTAACAAAATTATTTTTCAGTTGTCCCTTCTGCCTGTTCCCATATGCATATTTTAGTGTGTAACTGTACATCTTACATGTGTCACATTAAGAGCAACTGTGTTATAATTGAATGTTTTTCCCTCTGATTTTTACTTCTTTAGGTTTCTCTCAACTCTTGTGCTATGACCTAGGACAATTTTTCCAAGAGGCATTACCAGGTGAAATGCTACTGCTCTATGTTACAACAGCATATGCAGATGTAATATCATATGCAGATGTATTTCCAAAAGCTTTTTGCTGTTTTAATGTCAATCAAGCTCAACCAAAGCTTTAATGCAATTATGAGGAATGTTGCTGAATTTTTAGTAAATATAGTCTCTCATTTAAGTTTTTGGCCATAATCATTAAGTTCCCAATTCTCAATATTATTTTCTAATCAAATCAAATCAATTGCTTATATCTGGTTAAACTTAAAAATGGTAGTTATATTTATCTTCCTTGATTACTTTAGAGAAATTTAAGTCCAACAAAATCATTATAGCTTTCTTACATTTTTTTGATACAACAAAATCTCTTATACTTCTAAAATACATTTTCTTTCTAACAGCAATATACTATTTCTAAATTTTTAATATGAAAATTAACTTCCTTTTAGATAAAAATGATAAACACTGATTAATACTTTCATTTCAAAGTTGTTTTAAGGTAATTTTACAAAATTACCTAAGCTTATAATCATTTTAATGAAGGAATTTATTGACTCTTTTCCTTCTAATGCATACTAAACTTATTTTTCATTAAAAAATATTTAGCCCAGCAGGGTGGTTCATGCCTGTAATCCTAGCTACTTAGTAGGCTGAGATCTGAGGATCTCAGAAAAATCCATAGACTCTTATTTCCAAACTACCATCCTCCTTCCCCTCAAAACACAAGAAGTGGTGCTACGGCTCAAGTGCTAGTCTTGAGCACAAAAGCTCAGAGACAGTGCCCAGGCCATGAATTCATGTCCCCAGACACAGACACACACTCTCTCTCTCTCTCTCTCTCTCTCTCTCTCTCTCTCTCTTTTAATGCTCCAGATTGCTTTGTCAGACCTTTTCCATTTGAAATTAGTTAACATATACGTACAAAAATCTATCAAGTAAGGTGAGGCAAATGTGGAGACAAGATCTCAAGCATGTAGCTACCCCTGGCTGGCCTCAAGCTCTGGATCTTTCTGCTTCTGCCTCTTGAGTGCTGGAGGTAGAGGCACTGTGGTGAGTTTAGAAAACACTACTGAAATTAATTTATTATCTCCAGACATACGGGAAAATTAGAACAATGGTCTTCAGAAAAGAAGCCATCTTATAACTGAGTTTACATAAAGGTTCTTAAATTATGGCGTCCTCTTAGTTACTCTGAATAAAGTAATATTTTGAGAAGATACCTTAACCTTAAACAACCTCAATGGTACTGTGCATGTGGGCATGCAGAAAGAAAGGAACGTGAATTGTAATGTAACTTTAGCAAACCTTCTTAGTGGCAGAACCACTCACTTATGTAGTTAAGTTATAGCAATCATATAACCTAGAAATACCACAAAAACAAAACAAAACAAAAAAAATAATGAATTCACAGATTTAATAGGAACCTGGCTGGATTCAAAAGTGCCATCCCTCATAAAAAAAATAAGGAAGTGCCATAGTTCAAACAACTTAGATATAGCATGATGAAAACAGGAAAACTACTAGATAACTTTTTTATTTTTTTGGGGGGGTCCAGTCGTGGGGCCTGAACTCTGGGCCTGGGCACTGTCCCTCAGCTCTTCAGCTCAAGGCTAGCGCTCTACCACTTGAGCCACAGCGCCACTTCCGGCTTTTTTCTTTTTGCTTATGTGGTGCTGAGGAATCGAACCCAGGGCCTCAGGCATGCAAGGCAAGCGCTCTACCACTGAGCCACCTTCCCAGCCCCTAGATAACTTTTTTAAAAAAGGTTCTAAGACAACAGTCAGTGATATGAGTCATGTGAAGTGTTTCAATAACATTAATGAGCATGAAAATAAACGATTTATAAATTATTTCACCTAACATATGATTTTAAAAGGCAGGTAACTAAATTGAATTTTCTTCCCTCTTTCTGTCCCTCCCTTCCTTCCTGATTCGTTTTTTCTTCCCCTCCCTCCCTCCCTTCTTCCCTTGTACTAGGGACTGAACTTGGCTTTAAACTTGCTAGACACTCTACCTTTTGAGACACGCCAGCCCTTTTTTAAAATATAGGATCTAGGGTTGCCTGGGCTGGCCTTGAACCACAATTCTCCAGGTTGCTGGGATTTCAGGTGTGAATCACCACATTACTGTTTTTGAGATACGGTCTCTAGCTAACTTTTCCTAGGCTGACAATTGAATTGTGATCTCCATCTATGCCTTTGTGTAGCTGAGATTACAGACATGTATCATCACACCCAGACCCAAAATAAACATTTTAAGAACTCAAGGTGGTTTTATTTGAGGGAACGTTAATTTCAGCCTTAACTGAATACGCTTTCTTATTTACTTTATGCTAAGTCTTCAGTGGTATACTGCCAACAGCAGAAAGAAATAAAGTCCAAATTACCAAATACATATGACCCTGGTATTATTCCAGTATTATTAAGCAGGGCTGGCAGGAAAAGTGTGGTGCTACATGTAGGAGGAAATTACTTAAATGAGGACAGCCTTTTATAAAAATGTAAGAGAAGGAAATAAGGTTGTTTTTTTTTAAAGCAAGAAAAAGTTGGATTATATAAAAGCAGTAAGGTCTTCCTTAGAGCAAATATTTCAAACAGCATGATACTCCTTTAAAATCTTTGCTACATTTTTCACTCACCATCTAAATAAAATAAATGAAAAACCCATCACTTTCTCTGGAAGGCTGTGGCTATTTCTGAAACCAGCTACTTTTGTACTACAACACCCATGGGAATTTTCAGTTTCCTAAGGTGACTGGAGTGCTTTCTTCCTGCATCTCAAAACTAGTAGCTATTAGTTTTATTTTTTTCCTGCTGTCACTCTAAGATTTCTTTAGGAGGCAAGTAGACATATGTACCTTTATCAAGACTAAGTCTACCAAGGTTATCCGAGTACTCAGCACATACTGAATTAAATCAGTAAGTACCATCTTTATTCAATCTTCAGTTATTCTGTCTGAGATGACACAGACATTCATAAAAACTAATACCTACTAAACACCTACTAAACACTTTTGTAAAGTGATTTATTACATTTGCTATCTAATTTACTGTAAGGAGTATTATGTTGAGCGATATGAAGCTGCCAATATTCAATCTCCCAAAAAAATCTTATTTTACTTTGCAAGTTTTAGATTTGTAGAAAAGTGATAAGAACAATACAGAGAACACCCACCTACTCTGCACCCAGTTTCTCTGCTGTGAATGTCTAAGATTATTAGGTGTACTTGTAAAACTGATGTGTTAATAATCTTGACACATTTATGGCAGTCCATGCTTAGAATTTCCTACCTTTTACCAAGTGTCCTATTTCTATTCCAAGATCTCACCCAAGAGTCCACATTATAGTTACGTCGTCTTAGATGTTCCTCATTCATAATTACATTGTTTTTGATGGCCATGATAGTTTTGAGTACTGATCAGGTGTTTTGTTTTGTTTTTGTGCCGGTTCTGGGGTGTGAACTCAGAGTTGTCTATCCTGGAGCTTTATTAGTCAAGGCTAGTGCTCTACCACTTGAACCACCGCCCAACTTCTGGCTTTTTGTGGCAGTGAACTGGAGTTAAGAGTCTCATGGACGTTTATGCCCAAGATGATTTTGAACCGTGATCCTCAGTCATCAGCCTTCTGAGTAGCTAGAATTACATGTGTGAACTGGCTCCTGGCTCTCTTGTCTCTTTAACATACCCCTTCCATATTATTTTGTGAGCACTTTCTTTACATTCTGGCTCTACAAGATGTCCCAGGCCCATCTTGTATATTTCCTACCCTGATGTTACAATGGGCTATTTAAGGTTATGAGTACTGGGTTTCAACTGTTTTTAATCTACACATTCTAAACTCATAGACAAGAAAACTGTGAACTGGAGAGTTTCAGAAACTCAAAGTTGCTCAAGGTGTCCTACATCAAAATTTCTGAGTCAAACATGAGTTCTGCATAATAATGAGTTATAAATTTAAATTATAGGCTATGCATAAAGGACTTCAATTAATGGGGTAGAATGTCAAACTAGTCTACTTCTTCACTGGTGTTTGCTTACTCTAAGTTCACAGACTGATGAAACAGTAGAACATCATTATGAAGCAGCCTCTGTTATCAAGTAATTCACCAACTTTCAGAACAAATTCAATGTAAAGCAAAGTAGTCATTTTTATGAGTGATTTTTAACCTACATGTATCACTCACTCACTCACTCGAATCCCAGGAGATGAGCTCAAAAACTTGCCTCCATGTTTTCCCCCAAAACTCTAAGAGTGACAAATTGAGTTAGAGTTATATTACACCTGTTTTCAGAAGCTTGTAAAATACAGTAAAAAAAAAAAATCACTCAATACCTTCCGGGGTAACTGCAGAAGAAATACACCAATAATTAAACATCAGTGCTGAGTATTTGATATGCAACAGAGACTTACACAATTAGACCCTGGTTGAGTTTTGCTGAAAAATGTATCCCTGGTTACATATCTTTGTATGTCAATTAATCTTACCAATACAAATAAAAATTTGCTAGAATATAGATCCTCAGTGGAACTTTCTAAAATCAAGGTTCCCTTTCTACTCATTTAGCATGTCTTTACTAACCATCTTATTAGACTAATTTTCAAGATCAAATGATCTACGGTTATAAACATCAATGAAGTTTTATGAAGATTTATGGAGCAATTTCCCTTCACATGAGAACCAAACCATATATAAAACAAAAACCAGTCAGTTTCACAACAATCATAGAAGAATTCACCTAAATCAACAGGGCTATTTCATATGTAAAGGAGCTAACATGTTTGAGAAATTAAAAGCTTTGCCTAACGTGCACTGCTAGTTAATTGATGAGACAGGACTAAGTTCTATAGTTTTAAGACTAGGTTCTTTTGCTACACTCAACTTTGTATCTGTGTATCTCCTTGTAAATCTATAATGAATAATGGATTATATGTGTGGGTGGATGGGTAGATAAGACAGATGTGCCTGTGTGTGTGTGTGTGTGCATGTGTGTGTGCGTGTTTGTGCGTGTGTGTGTGTGTGTGTGCATGTGTGCATGCGCATATGCGCGTATGTATTGCTGTTCTACCACTTGAGCACACCCCCTCTGGCATTGTGATTAATTAAGAGGGGTTCCCTGAGGCTTTTCTGGTTGAGCTAGCTTTAAATTTAATCCTTCACATTTCAGTCTTTTGAGTGACAGATTACAGGCATGAACCACAAGTGCAGGCTAAGGATTTGCCTTTTTTTTTTCTCATCAGGAATTTGAACATGACTAGAAATAGTACTTATTACCTTTACTACCTTTTTCACTGAATTTATGTCAGTTCCCAGTTTTGGCAAACTACTTATTTTTCTACATATTTTCTAGCCAGGCACTAGAGTTAGACACTAGAGAAATGGGGGAAAAGAGATGGTCCTTCCTTTGGTAAGTTCTCAATCCTAAGTTCTCATACAATACCTTCCTTAAAAGTCTCCTCTGCTTATTCTTTCTCCTCCTACTAACAACAGAACAGCATTTCTAGTAGATATATGTGACTCATAAATGTGAAGTATACTAAAAATATAAACACATTTTAATTCAATATACCCCCAAGTTGTTATAATTACAACAAATATTCAATCTAAAAATTACAAATTGACTATTTTATGGGATACTTAGTCTCCAAAATCTACTGTGTAGTTTACACTTGTAACTTGTCTCAACTGAGACCGTTCACATTTCAAGGGCTCAATTGTCACAAGCTGCTACAGCCTGGACTACACAAGTCTTAAAATACTGGAGTGTCGCAGTTCTCAAGTCTTTAGATTGGCTCTTTTCTCTATTTAAATGCACACATTAGTGAGATGAAATAGTTTCACAGCTTCAAAAGCATTTATATGCTATGGTAAATCCCAAATTGATATGTGGTCCACATCTCCTCTTGGAATTTCAAATTAATTCACCCTTTGTGCTAAACAAACTCCTATAGTAAATGTCAACTCTATTCTTCTAGCTAGTCAGGGCAAAAACCAGAATCAAGCTCAACTCCCTTCTGTCTTTTATATACAGCTCACCATCTATAGCTTTAAAGTCTATCTAGACCTTGACACTTCTCACCAGTTTTTCATTGCTGTTGTACATCAAGTAACCAGTATTTATTACCCAAATTATTGAAACTACTTCCTAATTTTCCAACGACTCCCTACAATCCAATAATCTATTCCTATAGGAACAAGAATTTTACAACCTAACATTCTGTTCCTCCTCAGCTTGAAAACCTTTAATGATTTCCTACCGTACCTAGAATAAAAGACAACAGCTTATAGAGATCTTCAAAAACTCTATTAGATGTGGCCCATTAATCTGACCAGATTGCCAATTACACTGTCCATCATTTATGCTGCTCTGGCTTCCTTGCTGACCCAGAATATCCAGAAACACTTTTTAAGCATGACAGCTTTTCTTCTTGCCATTCCTTCTACTTGGAAGAATTCACAGGGATTAATTCCTAACTTCATGTTGGTCTTTGCTCAAGTAATCCTTATTTAAAACTGTAATACCCCTAGTTTCATCTTTTTTTTTTTTACTCTTCCTACACTCTTCTCCTCTGTTTTCTCCACAGCAGAAACTCTGGGCTGGAGGCCTGGCTCAAGTAATAGAGTACCCAAGCAAGTGAGTAGAGCACGTGTGAAGCCGAGAGTTCAAATCCCAGTGCTGGCAAAGGAAAACAAATTACAAATAGAAAATCCAGTGTGTATTACAAAACAGTAACTCAAAATATGACCTTACTTAAAATATACAAAAAAAGTTAATGTGCAATTTAAGTGATTTTTTTTAAAAAACAAAGTTATAATCTGTGGCTCTTGGCTATAGAAAATTTAAATTAACTAAGAATGTTCAATAGGATTTCATTATTTAAAATTTATATTGACACATATACACAATATTAAACTTCAAACTCACATACATAAATACACATATGTACTACACATATATCTGAAAAACTTCAATTAAAGAAAGGATCTTCATTCGATCTTTATCAAATATTTGGTTTAAAAGCTGTAATAAACAGAATTAGAGAATGCAATATATTTATAAAATATGATCCCTGCCCCAAATACTGAGCATCATAGATTTCAGATGATTTGCCAACAGGGGTTACAATGTGACTGGCTAAAATGCAAAGCTCACAGCCTTGAGTCCTCACGCCTCACGCTACGCGCTTCCCACTGAACTGTAGTGCTTCTCAACTATGCCAACCATCGCCTCATAACCAGGTCAATTATGCCAAATGCCCATAGCTCTAAAAAAAGGAAGGAAAATGTATGCAGCTTGCTGTAAAATCTATAGTTCAGGCAAGAGAAAATAGACATAGACATCCAACAAGCAGCATAGCATATGTATCAGAACTGTCACAGAGGTATTATAAAGAATGAGTGAAAGAATTCAGTGCAGGATGCCGAGCATGATGGTTTATATTTCATTCTTCAAATACCTAACAACTCACAGGGTTTATATGTCTTCAGAACTGTGGACAAATTTCATCTTTTCACTGGTGAAAATGACGTACCTCACGTTCCATGCAGTGGTAAAGTCTGGGTTTAGAAGGAGCAGGGTGCACGTGACATCTATCAATTCTAAAATAAAGAGAACTCATATTAAAAACAGTCCTGTCCTTCCATCCCTGATACCCCTTTGTTCTAAGGTTCTCTCCATCTTTTCTTCCCTCTCTCTCTCATTGCAATCATATGTATCTCATATATTATTAAGTTTAATCACAGATAACCTGTTAGAAGTTATTAGGGACACAAAGATGTTCCTCAAGACTTTCTTCTATTCTGGTAAGTATAACTCCTTTAAATGGTAAGTATAATTCTTTTAAAAGATAATGAAACAATGTTATGTCAATAAAGGATAATCTTGTCATTCTTTTACAACATTTTGGCACTACTTTTATAGTACCTTCAATGTCTAGCTTTCTGATTTAAGATGGGGTCTGGCTAATGTTTTGCCTGGGATGGCTTTGAACCTAGATCCTCCTGATGTTTATCTCTTGATTACCTGGGATTACAGATGTGAGCCACCATGCTTAGATATAATTCTATTTAAAAAAGAATCAATGTGACAGATAAAAACACCTGTACTTTGTTTTAACTTACATATTTAATTTATGTAATTTTTTTCTATTTATAGTTCATCTACAAATACCCTACTCATAGTCACTATTTATCTGTCATAATCTTGATAAAATTCCTATATAGTCACATAAACTCCCTAAGAGTATCTATAAAAGAACTAAATCTATAAAACGTGCACATATTTTTAATTTTACTGAAACTGAAAATAATTCTACAATTAGGATTATTACTCTAGGAGCCTAATACTAAATTTGATAATCCTAAATTATATTATCAATTAAATAAAGTAATAAAGACAATAGTATAACTCATGTAGCACTTTTGTGTACCAGATGTGCACTTTGTGCACATCACTTCTTGAGTTTTCATGATCATGTTCCAAGATATTCTTATCCCACTTTATAGACAAGGAAAATCTGTATTACAAGTTTAGGGAATGTGCTCAGAGTCATCCAATTGCCACGTGACTACGTTAACATCTGACTGCCTTCAACAAATGGTTATAATGTAACTGAAATGTGTGTGTACAGAAGTAAAGGAGGTATTTTCAGGATACAGGAAAAAGATAAAAACCATAAACTAAGAACAAATGTAAGTACATCACAGTGATTTTAAAAAATTCTAGTTAATATCAAAATCAATTATTTCATTCTCACAGCTTCTTAATGAGAAACATTTTTATTTTGAGCTCATGATTTCAAGACTATCAAGCATATTGTAATTTTACAAACTTGAGTACAAACAGCAGGATGAGTATACATTTTTACCTGCATTCAAGTTACAACATTACAAATTATTACATGATAAACACGGTATGTCTACAAATAACAACCTAATTAACCTCTTTATGCTCTTAATTTCAATAGTTTTCAGCAGTAATTTAACATCTGACAAGAAAAACAATATTATCTTCTTTACCACTATTCAGTGAATCCCACAAATATTTCAACTTGATAGTTGATGTTGATACAACCGGCAAAGATTAAACTTTAAAATATTAAAATTCCCCCAGAACTAAAAGAACATAATTATATACAAGTCCTGATCTTGGTCTTTATATGGTTACCCTCTATTGGAGCAACATACAAATAATTATATAAAGCAAAATGAAGTAATTATGAAGTAGAAGCATATACCACATCTTTGGAGCCTATGAAATAGGAAGCTGCAACTAATTACTACTGGAATACCCTTAGGAGATTGTAAGTAAGTCAGTAGAGAAACCACAAACCATGGAAAAGTATGACATACAGTGCATTCTCAAAGAGATCATGGCAGCAACAATGTGACTACAACACGCAGTGCTGGGAAAATACACTAGGAGATGAAGCCAACAATGTGACGACAGCACGCAGTGCTGGGAAAATACACTAGGAGATGAAGCCTTCTCAAACCAAGTCCAGATCTCTTATCAGCCTGCCTCCCACTACTTCCTTCACGTGTTGGCTACTATCAAACTGCACTGTGCTCTAAACATACCCTCTGCTGCTTGCTTCTCTTCTCTACACATATTTCAGTTTTACCTGCTTCCTTGTCTTTCTGCCAGAAATGTCTTCCTATGTTCAAATATTTAAAAAATAATTTTTAAAAAATAATGTTTTTTACTTGGTTTACATCTTCATAAAGGCTAGCTCTCTGATCTAACACAGAAGAAATCCTTTGTCTTTTTTTGTATGTACCTTCCTCCCTCCCTCCTTCCCTCTCTCTCCTTCCTTCCCTCTCTCCTTCTCTCTCTTTCCTTCCTTCCTTCCTGCCAGTCCTGGGGCTTGAACTCAGAGCCTGGGCACTGTCCCTAAGCTTCTTTTGCTCAAAGGTAGCACTCTACCACTTGAGCCACAGTGCCACTTCCAGCTTTTTCTGTTTATGTGATGCTAAGGAACTGAATCCAGGGTTTCTTGCATTCTACCACTAAGCCATATTTCTAGCCTGAAAACTTTGCTTCTTAAATAAATATTATCTTCTTACTCAAGTAGACTATATATTAGGGAGGCAGGTCCTCCCTAATGCATTTTCAGATTGTTCATTTACTCAGCAGATTTGGTGAGCTTCTGCAACAAACAAGGTACTGAGCTGGGTGAAGATGAGTAAGTGAGGATCTCTGCACAAAAGAAATGCCAGGTGAGACTACAGTACAAACAGTGATAAAAATACAGGCTTCAGAGCCACACCCTTTGGGTTTGAATCCCAGCTTTTCCACTTACTATTAAAAACATAACTTCTTTGAATGTGTCTCCTAAGCTGTGAAATGAAGACAATGACAACTTCACAATGTTTTGAGATTATTCCATTTCTCCATAGCTATCTGACACACTGGAATTGTTTTTTTTCTTCATTCTCCCAAGTTTATTTTATATTCTTTTTCCCAAGTATTTCTTTATTGCAATTATGAGATATATACATTTCACAATACTGTGGCATAGTTATATTTAGCTAAAGTCACAAAAAACCTTTTGATCTTTACAATGCTAGTCATTATTATTTATTTTTTTGCCAGTCCTGGGGTTTGAACTCAGGGCCTGGGTACTATCACTGAGCTTCTTTTGCTCAAGGCTAACACTCTACCACATAAGCCACAGCACCACTTCCAGCCTTTTCTGTTTATGTGGTACTGAGGAATCGAACCCAGGGCTTCACGCATGCTAGGCAAACACTTGACCACTAAGCCACATTCCCAACCCAGTCATTATTATCTTAATCTACATTGCTTATGAACTCTGTAACTGTTATTGTTAAATAAGTTGTTAAAAAATTGTTCAACTAAAACTACAGCTAATTAACAAATAAGAAGTATTTTCATCTTTAATCAAAGAGGTTCTTCTTATAGTGAAACTGTCTAAATGTATAAACCTCAAAAATGAGGGCAGCTTTGTACATGATGAGAGAGCTATGGAATTTTTTTATGTATTTTTCAAAAAGCTGCTATACTACTTGTGTAAACTGGTACTTATGTCACTTGGATTCTCCTTTTCTATATTAACTGATAATTTCTTTACTTTTTTTTCTTGCTAATTCTGGAGCTGAATTTAGTGCTTCATATTCTTACTTGGTTTGCCTACGCATGGTTGGTGCTCTACCACTTGAGCTAGTCCAGTATTTTGCTGGCTAACCAGAGACAGTGTTGCAGACTTCTGTCTGGGCTGGCTTTGAATTGAGATCCTCTTGATTCAGCCTCCTGAGTAGCTAGGATTACAAGCAAGAGCTCTTGGTGTCCGGCTTGTTTATGCTTTTAACAAAACTCTCCTCTCTACTCCTGTTAAGTGGAAGCAAACTCATTTCCATGAGAAACTTCAGCATAGCAGCAGTAGGCCATTACTACAGCAGACTTACTAAATAAACATCATGTGTTAGAAACACTTAAGAAGCTATAGCTTTGTTAAGAAATTAAAAAAAAAAAAAGATAAGTGTTGGTGGCTCACACCAATAATCCTAAAAATTAAGGTTTGAGGCCAATATGGGCAGAAAAATCTACAAGACCTTTTTTTTAAAAAAAATAAATAACCGGGCTGGGAAGGTGGCTCAGTGGTAGAGTGCTTGCCTTGCATGCATGAGGCCCTGGGTTCGATTCCTCAGCACCACATAAGCAAAAAGAAAAAAGCCGGAAGTGGTGCTGTGGTAGAGTGCTAGCCTTGAGCTGAAGAGCTGAGGGACAGTGCCGAGGCCCAGAGTTCAGGCCCCACAACCGAACCCCAAAAAAACAAAAACAACCAACAAAAATGAGGGCTTTAATTGGTACAAGTAACAGAGTGCCAGCTGGGAAAAACAAGCTGAACATGTAAAAGACCCTAAGTTTAAGTTCTATTCTAAAAGAAAAAGGTCACCTTGAGTTATAGAATACATTATTAGGATTTTGGCATGATCAAACATGTAGACACTGACATTCTGAACTATTTTTTAAATTGTCAGCTACCTATTCTTGGCTGTAGGAAACTAGGATTACAGGTATGAGCTACAAGTACCTGGTTACACTTATAATACTACACTTGTAGTACTATCTACATTTTAAAGGAAGAACATTTTCATTCAATAAGTTCTTTTAGATGGAGTCTCATAGACTTTTCTGCTCAGGCTGGCTTCGTAGCATGATCCTCAGACTCATGAGTAGCTAGGATTACAGGTGTCAACCATTAACATCTAGAATAAAACAACTTCTTTTTCTCAGAAATCTTGACTTTTTTTTCCCTTTCTTTATCGTGATTGACCTCTGTGTTCTAACTGCTTTCATTCATAAGTTTGACACAATAGCATTATATTAAGCCAGCATTTTCAGATATCTTTTTCCATCAAATCAAAAGGTTGGACAGAAATACTGATAGTATACAATGTGAGTAGAGTACAACACCAAATATTATAGATTACTATGCTTTTTCCAACCTTATGGATTGAGAGGTTCTGTGAGTCTTCCTAGAGTTTTCAAGACTAAACTGTATGAATAAGGAGAGGGAGCAAAGCTTCAAATACAGTGCCTAGAAGCACGAGAAACAGAAATGGAGAGGAGGACTTGGAGGGTCTCTGGAAGAAGGTGGGTGGGGCTGGCACACATGAATGGGCAAAGCCAGTGTTGGGAAACAATTACAGGTTTTGACTTTAAAAATTCCTATTGTTTCTTCTCTACAAAATAATCATTCTACCCTCCCTTCACCTTTGTATGTACTACTCCATTTCAAATCTATGTGTATCTGAATACAAATATAGCTTTATTTGGCAAAAACTAATTTGATGAATTCATATGTCTAAATTTCTACCTCAATGTTCTAAAACATATGACATGGTGATAAAACAATTAAAGATAGTCTAGCAGAAGATAAATACCTTTATACTTTAGATTATACTTAAACCTAATACCTTAAAGGTCAAGCCGCAAAAGGTCGTGCCATTATGACACGTTTAGGTATAGTCTTCTATACTTAAATGCATGTATCAGATGACTAAACAAGTGAAACAATCACACCGAAAATATTCTCACTGCCTCTTCAAATCAGGTGTTTTAGTGATCTAAATAAGAAAAGGTGCTATCAATCTAGGAAGATAGGCTATTGAGGACAGTATTAAGGTATTCAGGAAGTCAGTATGTATGTAGTACCTTCAGCAATACTCTTCTTCATGTTTCCTACCCCCAAAGACATTGTCACTCAACTGTAAACTTCACTCATCTTTTAACCCCCACAGTACTCAGAACAGCTTCTGGTCTGATGAGGCCCTTGGTAATGGATCTCAAACTAGTAGTTAAAATTCTCTAGGAAACAAAGTTCTTGTTCAAAAATCAGTCCACCAGCATACTAAGCACTTCTGAAGGTATGTTGAAAAAGAAAGCAGCTTTATGAAAACAAGGGAGGACACGATTTTAGGTAAGCACTCCCCCCGAAAGACAGTAAAGAACAAACATAATTTGTCTACATAAAGGCTTAATTTGGGGAAGTACTAAGAAAAAAAAAAGATGAGGGAAAAAAAAAAAGCCGGAGAGAAACTTGCCAGCTATTTGCATTTAGAGGGAATAAAAAGTTGTAAGAATATAAAGCTTTGAGAGTGGAGGGAGAATAAAACAAGTAGGGTATAGAAACACAAGACCCAGTCACAAGTCCAGAATCGTAATTCCGTCTCCATCCTACCACTGACAGCCCATGTGAAAATGAAACACAGGACTAATAAGAGATTATTAGCTGCCGTAAAGAGTTGACTCAGAGAAAAAGGAATTGTTGGGCTGTTTTTTTTAGTTTTCTTTTTTTCATTTCAGCATAGAAAAGAGATTCCGAAGACGGGAGTTTGATTGGGATTCAGAGAGAATTGGCATGTTCATAAATCATCAGATGAGCTCACAGTGTAACTACTTCAATCACACCTCCAGCATCTCCTCTGGACTGCTACATAAACAAGTGCTATTGCCCACAGAACGTTAAATGTGATCAGAGATCAGTGACTTAGGCTGAGAGGGAATTTATTCTTCAGTGGTACTCAAATATGTTGAAAGCCATAGGACATGATCTTTAAATAAAGTCTTGCAAATTGCCTCACTACATTACTAACAGGTGGAATCAGAATCGCTCTGGTTGCAGACGCTGGCCTGGAATCCTGCCTGCGGCATTTTTTATATAATACTGTAGTTGCAAATTTTGAAAACTAACGATCTGGTAGAAACTCCTCGCTTTCACAGAGGTTAAGCAGCTGCCCAGGAAGGGAGGAGAACAGCCTAAACCAGAAGCCAGTAATGCCAGCACCCCAAGGGCTCTTCCCACTCTTTTCCATGGTCCTAGGAGGAAGCTGAGGAGGAGGAGGAGGTGGTTACTCACCGTCTTTGTTCAGCCACTGCTTTCTTGTTCTGTATAAAAGGAGCTTGTTGTGGACGTAGGGTAAAAGGAACTTGACACACCAACTCTCCACACCGAGTTTATTTTCAACCAGGACTATGGGACTCCGGTTATATCTTGCTTCAGGACATGGGATCAGGCCAATTTCATCTCTTAATATATAAAACATAAAGAAGATTTGAAGATAATTCTGGCCTTGTCACAATTTCTCTAATTCCAGAGTATTTTTAAAGATCCACGCTACTTCTCTTTCTAAAAAACATGGCTGAGAATTTCAGCTTACCTCCTGCAGTGTTAGAAATGAAAAACGAACATAAGCCAAACAAACAGGTTTGTTGGTAATGGCAAGGGAACTGGGAAACCACTATGCTTTACTACACTTTATTCATAAATGACAGACCTTATCTTCGGATGGCAATTTCAAAACGCCATTCAACATTGTAAATTCACATACCCTTTGACTTAGCAATAAATGGGACACAGTATAAATAGTTGACAATGTAAGACTGGTTGGTAAAAAAGAAGTTTAGCCTGCCTGTGTGACATAGATTTTTTTTTTGGGGGGGGGGTCCGGTCGTGGGGCCTGGGCGCTGTCCCTCAGCTCTTCAGCTCAAGGCTAGCGCTCTACCACTTGAGCCACAGCACCACTTCCGGCTTTTTTCTTATGTGGTGCTGAGGAATTGAACGCAGGGCCTCATGCATGCAAGGCAAGTGCTCTACCACTGAGCCACCTTCCCAGCCTCACATAGATGTTTAAAAAAGAAAAAAATTACTGAGAGCCTGGCTCCAGTGGTGTACTCCTGTAATCCTAGCTACTCAGGAGGCTGAGATCTGAGGATCTCAAAGCCAGCCCAGGCAGTAAAGTCTGTGAGACTTTTATCTCCAATAAACCACCAGAAAATGGGAAGTAGTGCTGTGGCTCAAATGGTAGAGCTCTTGCCTTGAGCTAAAGAGCTGAGGGACAGCGCCCACCCAGACCCAGAGTTCAAGCCCCATGAGCGACAAAAAGAAAAAATTACTCAGAGCAAATAACTCAGAGCCAGGTACTGGTGGCTCACACCTATAATCCTAGCTGAGAAGGCAGAGTAAGGTCTAAGGATCATAGCTCGAGGCCAGTCCAGTCAAGAAAGTCCATGAGACTCTTGTTCCCAATTAATCACCAAAAAAGCCAGAAATAGAACTGTGGCTCAAGTGGTAGAATACTAGCCTTGAACCATAAAGCTCAGGGACAAAGCCTAGACCCTGAGTTCAAGTCTCTAGATCCAGCACATGCACACAGAAGTGTGTGTAAATACACACTTTGCCATTCTAGTTTATAAAGATCTGTAAGAGGAATGTGGAGCATGCTGGGCAAACATCTGGACAATGACTAGTATTTCAAAGTATGTTTTTGTAATTATATTTGGTGAAGCTAACCTGAAATCTAACTCATTAGGACAACTACACATATGATAACTACATACTGGCACTTTCTAGTGTTCAGTGTTAGTATCTAAAGTAGAGCACTACAAAAGTAGCTAAAAATAGTTTTATAACTCAGTCTATGATTCTGTTCTCTGAGATCTAATAACTACTTAGAACACTTCAAAAAACTGTAAGAGCTAAAAATGTAAATGTTATAGTAACAAGAATAAAAGGATTCTGGCTTCTGAGTATAATCTGTTTTGGGAAAGTTTTTGCTGTTGTTCTGTTTTTTATACTTAAATCCCCAGTGTAAAAGCTGTCATGTTCACTAGTTGTACTGGGAATAAAATGTCCAAGTACTAATTTGGTATCTAAATTACGGGACAAAGCCATCTGTACAATTAAAGCAAAAAACAAAAAACAAAACCTATTACTTTGGTTGGCTATCCCTATTCCAAGGATAAGCATACATTACTAAATAAACACTTCCTAAAAGGCTGATTATCCTTATACTTCAGTGAGATTTAAATAGCTTTCAAAGGCTACAACTTCTAAACCTTACAAAAGAGCATTACCTCTGATTTTCTTCTACTACAGTGTTCTGAAAACAGCCTGGACCATCCATCTATCACTCTGGGCTCTACAGACCTCAGTTTTCTCAGCTGTAAAATGGTGGGACTACATTATCTCTAGTAGAGGAAACGGGCAAAAGCTCATCCAGATTTCAAATGCTATGACAGAGAGAAACTTGCCAGCTATTTACATGTAGGGGGAATAAAAAGTTATAAAAAATATAAAGCTTTGGAGGGGGGACATGAAAACTGGTAGGGTAAACACAAGACTGTCACAAGTCCAGAACTGTAATTAAGTCTCCATTCTACTACTGACAGTGTATGTGAAAATGAAACACAGGACTAGTAATAATTTTCCTGTTCATTATAAAAACCCAACAATTCCATGTGGAGAATGTGGTAAATTATGAAATGCTAGACAAAGATGAACAACTGTACTGTCATTTTTTTAAGAGCCTGAGATCAGTTAGTAAAGCTCCTTGATTAACAGGCAAAGGGAAGCAGAGGTAAAGAATGTTAAGCCTTTGTTATTTGAGCCTGAAGACACATAATGTGTTGCTGCTTCCTAAAGACATAGCCTTTATTTTGTAAAGACACGTGTGTCACTAAGCTTCCAAGTAAATACTTTTGACTTCAGATCTCTGTGAGCATCCCTTAGGTCAGAGTCTACTGTGTGTGTGTGTGCGCATGTGTGTGTGTGTTTGTGTGTGTCCTGTGGCTTCAACTCAAGGCCTGGCCAAGTGCTCTAACCACTTGAGACACAGCTCTGTGAGTGTGTGTGTGTGTGTGTGTGTCCTGTGGCTTCAACTCAACCTGGCCAAGTGCTCTAACCACTTGAGACACAGCTCCACTTGTGGCTTTTTGGTGGTTCATTGGAGATAAGAATCTCATGGCTTCTATCCTCAGATCTCAGACTCCTCAGTAGCTAGGATTATAGGCATGAGCTGATGGTGCCTGGCTATGGTCCACTTTTTTCCCAGACCATTTAAAATAGTATTGCAGAATCATTTAAAAAACTGCATGGAACTCAATTCTCTTCTGTCATTTTATAGGATGAGGAAACTAAGGTCATATAACTAGTAGCTAAGAACCTAGAGCCTCCAAATACTTAATCTAAAACCTTAGACATAGAATGAAAAAAACAAAACAGTATTTAGACCAATTCTTCCTAGATTTCTGGCAGCTTAAATTCTAATTTCATACTCAAGATGAGGTGGAAAACTCAGGGGAAAAAAAATACAAACTAAAAGCTATTTGTCATTTTTCTGTCACTATTAAGGCTTGGGTATACATCTCTCCCCACCCCTGCAAGTATCTTATAAAGTATGTGATTATATTGGATATAATCCTTTTTTAGTTCTTTGCAAAATCTGACAATTCTTATTGTTTTCCTACATAATTAAATGGTATTTTAATGAGCACAATGATTATGTGATGCATACCAAATATATTTCTAAGTATTTCTTCACAAAAGTCTTGTAAAAAAAAAATTAATGACATGGGCTGGGAATGTGGCTTAGTGGCAGGGTGCTTGCCTAATATGCATGAAGCCCTGGGTTCGATTCCTCAGCACCACATAAACAGAAAAAGCTGGAAGTGGCGCTGTGGCTCATGTGGTAGAGTCCCAGCCTTGAGCAAAAAGAACCTCAGGGACAGTGCCCAGGCCCTGAGTTCAAGCCTCTGGACTGGCAATAAATAAATAATGACCCTTTCACCACCATTAAATTTTGTTGTTTAACATGTAGGTTTCTAGCCCTTTAGATTCCTGGTATTACCAAAATGCTCAAGTAAATACTTTCTACAATATCAAGGACACAGGATTTTTTTTTTTTTTTTTGTCAGTTGTGGGGCTCAAACGCTGGGCCTGGGCACTGTCCCTCAGCTCTTCAGCTCAAGGCTAATGCTCTACCACTTGCTCTACCACAGCATCACTTTGAGTTTTCTGATGGTTAATTGGAGATAAAGAGTCTCACAGACTTTCCTGCCCGGGCTGGATTTGAACCACCATCCTCAGATCTCAGCCTCCTAAGTAGCTAGGATTATAGGTGTGAGCCACTGGTGCCAGGCTAGGATTATTTATTTTTGCCAATCCTGGGGACTGAACTCAGGGCCTGGATACTGTCCCTGAGCCTGTCTACTAAAGGCTAGCACTTTACCACTTGAGCCACAGCAAGCCACTTCCAGCCTTTTCTGTTTATGTGGTACTGAGGGATCGAACACAGTGCTTCATGCATGCTAGGCAAGCACTCTACCACTAAGCCACATTCCTAGCCTGGGCACAGGATTTTTAAAGATGGAGGAAGTTTGGGATATTGAGCAAGTTCCATTCCTCGGAAAGACATAATGTAAAATGCTCACTATTTAGATTACCTTCAAAAGGCACTCCAAAGACATACAACAAGGAATGAATGAGTTTACTTAATAAGAATACACAATAAAACTCAGTTCTTGAAATCCCTCAGTTTTTAATGGCGGTCTATTGAAGTTCAGGGTTCATATAAAATAATGACATGTCTAGCGAGCTTCTCTTGGTTGTGTCTTGTGGAAACATCAATCTGCAAGAAAATCTTTCTATTCATAAAAGTATCATCAATCACCCTTTTAGGAGAGGTAGATGTCCCAAATACTGAAGCCTGTCATGTGGAAACTGAATTAAAAAACAAAGTCCAAGGATTCATAAACTAGTACAGATATTTTTAACCTAATAGTTGTTTTTGCTAGCTTACCCCCCACTTCAAAACTGGAAATTCTCTCTAGAATGATTTTTAAAAAAGGAATTTTAGTAAAATATCTAAAGGAATTAGCTCTTGTTAACAAGAGTTCAATGACCTACCATGCTTTCTCATTAATTTTAAAGATAACTTTGTATATTACTGACTTTAGAGAACAGCTACACAAATTACAATTTGTTTTTTATATGCTATCCTGTTAGTTTAATATACATTATTTCATTTATTATGAACAATAGGTTCTACAGAAAAAAAAATTTAGCCCCTTTTAGAGATGAGGAAACAGTTTTGTCTAGGTCTATCCAGCTATTAAGTTAAAAGACAAGGTTCAAATTCAGGACTCAAATTCTAAATCCAAACTCTTATAACTATACATTATTTAAATAAAAATCAGGCAAAAGATGATTATTAGACTCTCTGATTTTCTATTCCTCAATTCAATTTGAAGACAAATTTAAAACTGC